CATCACTCATTTAAATTTTGCCGTACCGCACCTTTACTTTGCACCAAAGCGGGGAGCACGCAGGGAGGTTCAATGCCCCAAATATTGGTGAGCTTGCTTTCTTACGGTGCGTGAGCAACATTATGAGAGAGACATTGTTCTTCCATACCAAGAAAACACCATCACATGCTTTCCTGTCACTAACAGAGCATACGATGCCCTACAATAACACATTTTCCTGTCGCAAGGCCAAGATGGGTACTACATCAAGATTCCTTCAATTGCAAAGCTGCAGGACAAAGACATCCTTACAAAACTGTCTCCTCTAAAAAAAGTATATTCCTTCGTGATCATGGACAGAGGAGGAAACCACATTATGGTGCACCAAACTCTTTCACCAGTATGTTGTCGATGAGTATGCCAACATTGAGAGTGAGCGCCTTCATTACATTCAACTGAATCAAAACCACCTGCGTGTGAACAGTATGCTCATCTCCGGGACGCCATCAATGTTGAAGGAGATGCAAATGGTCACAACGTGGGCTGATTAGTTGCTTTGCCTTCATACTGTATTTCACAGCTCCACCAAGATACATGCATGAGAAGACTCAGGATGCCATGACATACATCAGCCAATATGGCACACCCCATCTCTTCATCACCTTCACTTGCAATCCCAAATGAAAGAAGATCCAGGTTTAGCTTTATCCAAACCAAAAGCCACCAGACAGACATGACATCTTAGCGAGGGTCTTAAAACTTAAAGTTTATGACCTCATGATGCTTATTACGACCAACGAAGGCGGCGTCTTTGGATAGACAAGCAGTAACTTCCACACATTGGGTGGCAAAAACGTTGTCTTCCTCATGCTCACATTTCGCTATGGATGAGGGAAACAATTCATGCAAGTCACATTGACACATTTATCAGTGCTGAGCTACCTCACCCCCATCAAGACCCTGCCCTTTTTCTATGTGGTCTGCAACCAAATGGTCCATATCCCATGTGGCGAGTTCTATCCAAATGCACCATGTATGCAAGACCACAGGTGTACCAAGAGGCATCCACGGAACTACTTGAAAGACACTCAGTCGGCCCATGATGGCTATCCTCTATTTCGTCACAGAAATACTGAGCATGGTGGATTTCAAACAACGCTCAGACCTGCCACTTACTCGCTAATTAAGGTTCACAACCGGTGGATCGTTCCCTAATGCCCTCTTCTGTGCAAGATCTTCCAGGGCCACTTTAATGTGAAATTCTGCTATTCTAAAAAAAAATCAAATATGTTTGCCAATACATCAACAAACGCTCTGACATGGCTGTCTTTGCCTTACAAAACAGAGGGTCAAAGTGTGCAAGAGCTCAAACTTTTACTCAAGTTTACCTTAACATAGTCAAGATATATCGACGGACAAACAGGCGCACAGAGCTCATGTGTTTAACCAGGATATGCAGTGAGTTTAATACGTAGTAGTAGGGGCTTTCACGACCAAATCCGTAAAAAAGTTTATTTTTGGGGGTTAGATGGCGTAAATATGTCCCGTTAAACCGGCCACTGCCTGACACAGCCATTGAGTAAGGGGGTTTATCACATAAACAAACGTGGCCAATTCGTTACTAGTTCAGCACTAAATCAGCTGCTGTGCTGGAGCGTAAACCCACATCAGGGAAATATTACGGTATTTGCAGGAAGGGGACATCACAGCCAGTTATGACCTAAACTGGTTAATAACGTCCTTCCAATGATTGCTCAGGTTGTACCCATCTTTCTTGGTTGAAATTGTCTCTGTTTATATATCTGTATGGCTTCATGGACAAATCTTTGATGGTAGCCCGAAGGTTTGCAGAGTACCTTGGTCTCGGAAAAAAACTATCATGTAAAACAGTGATCAGCCACGGCAGAGGTGTTGGTTCTGCCGTGTTTCAAATCTGCCTTGTGTTCGCGAACATGGTCCGAGACGTCGTTTCGTTTCCTACATAGCTCAGTAGGCCTTACATGGCAAAAGAGGAAGTAAATAAATCACTTTAATATCATTCCCTGGTTGCCCTTAGAAGGGGAGTGCAGTGTTGGGTCCCCTCCCCTCCTCAACATTTTCTTGTGGTCAGCGGATCTGCTCTACATCTTTCTATATGTCCTTGTTTTTCATAACTGGTTTAGTTTATGGTGACGGTATGCGCATTGCCTCAAAACAAATTATTGTGGTGCGACTGCTACCACAACGCTGTTTAGCAAGGGAGTTCGAGGACTGTCCAATGCGACAATGGAGCTGCGGTGATACATAAACTATTGAAGTATCAACTATTATTTTTATTGTACCAGGTAAGACCCACTGAGCTATGTAGCTCATTTGTCAGAAGCGACCTGGCTATCACAAATGATAGCTTAGTGAAGTGGCTTGTCATTGGGAAATTTATAGCAGCCAAATATTCTGAACACGTGGTGATGTTGTTTCTGAATGTGGAGGAAAAAACCAGTAGACCCGGAGAAAAATCCAAGCGACCATGGGAAGAAAGACACCACAAACTCAAAATATACAAGCATCAGGGTCGGTCGGGATAGAACCCATGACCTCCTGCATACCAGGAGAGGTAGTTAAACATCTCACCTCCGCGGCACCATATGTCCAGGTTCGGACGACGTGCGACTTGTACGTATGTATGTCTGTTGAACTTCTTTCGCACAACCAGACGTAGGCGACTGTGCTAATCGGAGGTGGGGGGGGGGAGACAAACTAAAAACAAAAAGCTGTTTAAAAAAAGATTAAAATTTTCAAATAAATTACTTGGGAGGGGAATCGTAGAGGTGGTGGCATTTCCACACAAACTGCTGCTGCTACCCTTGGTCCTTGTGAGTGGTGAAGGTCGTAAGTTTCGGAAGGTGCTTACGGAGCTGCCTTGGCGAGCCATTCTCGACTGTGCAACATCGCAGCCGACTGTTTTGCTGACGATAAAGGAAGTTGATTTACTCCCTTAGTTTGGCGAGGCACCAAGTATTTTTTTCTTGAGTCGACTGCTCTCGACAAAGCTTATTCAGTGTCGTGGAAGCTGCACTTACCTAGGCAAGTATTGAGTACTCCATTGCCACTCCACACTATTTAGCTTGTCGATGGTGCGGAGGCTTTTGGTAATCAAAGAGGAGTTGTGCCAATTGCCGCAAGATATCGAGCCTCCATCCTGCTCTTGTGACCATGGTGTTTGTGGTCCAGTTTATTTTTTGTCAATGGTGACCACCACAATATTGTTAGTGGGAGACTTGATGATGGTAATACAGGGCGCCGTGGTGGCTAGCAGATGTTAACTACCTCACCTGGTATATAGGAGGTCGTGGGTTCAATCACCTACTTGACACCTGCTGGATATTTGGCGTTTGTGCGTCTCTCTCCCCGTGGTTGTGTGGATATTTCTCCAGGTCTTTCGCTTTTACCTTCCAATTTTGAATCATCATCATGCGTTTTAGAGTATTTGGCTGCTATAAATCTCCACATGATGTGGAGATTCATTTGGTGATAATTGTGGCCATAGCTCAGTGGGCTTTAACTGGTAAAATAAAATAAAAATGGTTTAGTTTATAGAATGCTATTGTCGAGGTGGTTAGGTTCTCTCTCTTATTGGAGGTGGTCATTGCCTGGCAATTTGTTACTTGCCACTTAGGAGTGTGGATAGTACTTGGAGCATCATGTTCGCTATTGTGAATGTCAAACAAAGTACAGAAATATTCCTTTCCCGCGAACATAATAACGTGGAATTGTCACTACTGAATCTGTACTTCCAACAAATGTGAGCATTGCCCCACGGTCGATTAAGCAGGGGACAAACAATAACCTGATTGCAGCTGTCTGTCCTCATAGGCCCTTTCAATCACAGTACAGTCTGGTTCTCCTATAATGTGGCGGTAGTAGTTGCGTTCCTGAAGAACACTATGTTATGGAAAAATCGCGACATAACAATATATAATACAGGGGGTAAATCACAGGCCGCGATAACGCGCAAGATGATGCATAATGCAGGGCCGGACACAGCCTGAGAGGTGCGTGGTGGTTAGCGTTTATAAGCATCATCCAGCAGCATTCCCTTGCCTAGTTGTGTGATGATGATGATGCTATGCCGAGGCAGCCACCGTTACAAACCACTTTTTCCTCCTCGTGCGATGTAGTTCTGTTTGCTCGATCGCATTATATATCCAATTCGCATCCACGTTATAAAAAAAGTGTGTTCCATAATTACACATCCTTCAAGAGCACCAACGCAGCGGCATTGTTAGTTGACCTCTGTCAAGTGAGCTCGATCACCGACAACAGCCTCCACGCAAAACCCCATAGCCACAGCAATAGCCCATGCTCTCAAATAAAACTAACTCACAACCTCGACGTGAAACCGAAAGCCCTCATACCTTCCATTTACAGTCCTGAGCCTCATAACCCGATGTAGATTGCACAGTGGAGGGGAGGGGTGAGGGGTGCTGCTTCACATTAGTTTACCAAGCTTAGTTGGCACGTGGAGGTTGAATTTGGCATCCATAGTGATGGCACACGGTGACCTGTAACTGGGTAGCTACGATCTGAGAGGTGAATGTGTAGCACATCGTTTCACTTTAAATTCCACAGTCGTTTGATTTCAGCCGCCGTATTATGTTGTTTCATTTCGGGTGGCATCTTTCTTTTGGTGGCACAATGGCTAGAAGATGTTGGGTACCTTGCCTGGTATGCAGGAGTTCGTGGGTTCAATCCTGACCTTGATACACCACACTTTTAAGGTATTTGGATGCTGATTTAAAGCTTTCGTGACTGCAGGGATTCATATTCTTGGTTCTTTCGGTAAAGTCACGTAGAAGGGAAACAATAAAATAATAAAAAATATAAAACAATAAAATTCTCATGACGTTTCGACTGCAACACAAGCAATTATCATCAGGTGTGAAAACCACAGCAAGAAAATTTGATATTTCATTGTTTCCCTTCTACATGACTTTACCGAAATAACCAAGAATATTTGGATGCTGCTATACATTTCCACCCAACGATATCAGCCACTTTGTTGAGTGATCATATGTGATAGCCTGGTCGCTTCTGACAAAAGAGCCACATAGCTCAATGGGGCCTTACACCTGGTAAAATAAAAAAAAGAGTAAAAAAGTAAGACGGTAACAGGCCGCTATTTTAAGGTCTGTGGCCTGGCCATGCGGGCCCGAGGACGTAGACCCTCAGGCCCTGCCTCCCTCCTGCATGCGGCGGCGGAGGGCTCCCCAAGCGCCGTTCGCAGCTTGGCCCAGAAGAGTGGCCTCGCCGCCTCGTCCCGGGGCCACACCACATGGGTCTTAGTGCAGAGTAGGCGGTGCATGCGATGGTGGGCGGACAGCTCGCGGTCGGCGATGTCCTCGACGATGAGCGTGACGAGAACGTCGCGGTGCTCGCTGAAGAGGCGGTACGATGCCATCTGCATCTCCATAGAGCACCACTCGCTGCGCAGGAAGCCACGGCTCACCACGCACACGGTCCTGCGGCTCTTGTAGATGGCGTCGACAATGTTGTCCACGATGTAGCGGCCCGGCACGAAGTCGCGGTGATGCAGGCACAGCCTGTAGGGCGGCAGGGGGCCCCCGTCCCGCTCCAGGCATGGCACGAGCTCGGACATGACCCAGGCCTCGTCGCGCGAGTTGTACGAGATGAAGGCGTCATAGTCATGTGCCAACCCATCGGCGGCGCGGCGCCGCTGCTCGCGGAACCAGGCGAGGAAGACGTGGAAGCCGTAGCGGATGTGCCAGCGCGCCTTCACGTGCACCAGCGTGAGCGCCACGAAGAGAGCCAAGCTCGGCGTCACCGTGAAGAACAGGATCTTCTCCTCCTTCTCGCGGCACACGGCCATGTCGAAGTCTGCAAAGCGTGCGGCGGAGCCGTCCGACTCGCCCGACGAGCAGCTGAGCGAGTAGAGGCCCACCACCTGCACTTGGCTATGCAATGACCAGTTCTGGAACCACGAGTTGTCGCAGGTGCACACCACAGGGTTGCCGCTCATATCCAGGTAGTTCAGGTCACCCAAGGGAGTGATGGCCTCCTCGGTGATGCTCCCGATGGCATTGTCTACCAGGTAGAGCGTCTTGAGGTGACCCAGCGTCAGGAACTGGGCATCAGCCACGGCACTCAGGCCCACGTTGCGCAGGTCCAGGATGGAGAGGTTGGTGAGCCTGTGGAAGACGCTGCGATTCATGGTCTGCAGACCACTCCCCATGTGCTGCATCTCCAGCAGGCGCAGGCTCACCAGGTCGTCGAACGGATGCGACGCATGGTCTGAGATCTGGTTCCCGGCCAGGTGGAGGTTCTCCAGGAGGCGGAGGCCTGCAAACAGGTTCTCCGGGATCCTCTGGATGCCATATGGCTGTTGGGCACTCAGCTTGAGGGTGATGAGGTTGCTGAGCTTGACAAAAGGCGGGTTGTCCAGCAGCCTGGTGCTGTACGAGATCATGTTCTTAACCAGGTCCAAAATGCGGAGTGACTCCAGCCCCGTAAACATCGGTGGCGTCACCCAGCCGATAGAATTCTCATCCAGGTAGAGGTTCCGCAGGCCCTCCAGTCCCACAAAGGTGTGCTCCTTCAGGGACGAGATCATGTTGCTGCCCAGGTCCAGGATCTTCAGCTGGGTCAGATTGCCAAACACCTGCCGGTGCAGCCTCTTGATGCGGTTGCGCCTCAGGTTCAGCGTCTGCAGGTTCTCGAGGGCCGCGAAGGGTGACGACACATGGAACTCGTGGATGAGGTTGTTGTCCAGGCGCAGTTCAGTTAGCTCCCTCAGGCCACGGAAGGGATTTTGGCTGATGCTGAAGATCAGGTTGCCCTTGAGGATGAGCGAGCGCAGGCTGGGCACGTGCACAAACGCCGAGTTTTGCACCAGCGTGATCTTGTTCCAGGCGAGGGAGAGCGTCTCCAGATGGGGCAGCCGCATGCACGTGTCACACGGCTCCAGCACGTTCAGGCGGTTGTAGTCCAGCATCAGGGAACGCAGGCCATGGTTGGGTCCCACCAGGGAGTAGCCCTGCATGGAGCGGATGTGGTTGCGTGACAGGTCCAGGTGGCGGAGAGCGGTGCAGTTCCTGAGCGCCCCCGCAGTCAGGTTGGTGATGCCATTCCTCATGAGGAACAGGGATTGAACCTTTTGCATGAGCCTGGAGCTGCACAGCATCTCGAGGCTGTGCTGACTGCTGAAGCCCGACTTCTGCAGTTCTAGGGTCTGTGGCTGGGCGTTGTCGAGGCGCTGCAGCTCGCTGACTTCGAGGCGGTTGTCCCCCAGCAGCAGGTAGGACACGCCGCTGATATTGAGGCTCTCCAGCCCCCCGACATCCTTAAGCCCATTGTGGGAGAGGTCTAGGAAGGTTATGGTGGTGAAGAAATCAGCAGGCACCAACACCGCGCTGATGGAGTTGTTGGCCAGGTGAAGCCAGCTGAGGTTCTGTGGCAGCACGGGGCCTTCGCCACCGCTCATGTTGAGCGCTTGAATATAATTTCCGCTGAGGTCGAGGGAGTGGAGGCTCGACAGGTTGGCGACAGCCTGCACAATCGATGGGAAGTTTCGCAGCGCGTTGTGCATTAGGCTAATGTTGAGGATGCTCCTGAGGGGCGCAAACAGCTCAGGCGAGAGGCGTTTCAGGAAATTGTGGTCGAGCAGCAGATACCTGAGCTCGGAGAGGCCCCTGAAGGCATCCCGGTCCAGGACCCCAATACGATTTATGGACAGGTTTAGCGTCCGAATGGAGAGGTCCTGGAAACTGCCCGCCCGGATAGTGGCGATGCGGTTGCGGTCCAGCCGCAGGAACAGGAGAGCGCCGCTCATGTTCTGGAAGATGCCCGGTCGGAGCTCCGATATGGAGTTTTCGGACAGGTTCAGCACCTGCGGTGTATTGTGGATGTCCGATACGGCCTCCAGAACATCCTTTATGCCACCATTCACACATACCACAGTGCCGGGGGGCTTCTCTATGCACTTCCGTAGGCCATAGCCCCGCACCGCGGGCAGCCACGGCAGGGTGGCGGCAAGTAGGAGCCACGGTACGAGGGCGATCCACTGACAGCGCGCGTGGCTGCAGCTGGCAGAGGTGAGGGCTGTGGCCTCGTAGCCACGTTGGTGCTGCTGCTGGAAGCGGCACACAGTGAGGCGTGGGGTGCCCATTGCTTGACAACCACTCAGGACTGCGAGGTGAGAAGGGGGGGGGGGGGGAGAAAGGATCGTGAGCCTCCACCGTTTATCCATATGTAGTCGATGGTCGTGTTTTTTTGGCTAGATTGCGTGCATATAAATGCATATCATTAATCCTGCCACGACCCGATACAGCTGATCAGTAAAGGTTTTGTCACGTAAAAAAGTGGTTAATTCGTTGCTAGTTCAGCAATTAACCGGTTGTTGTGTATTGGAGAGTAAACCCACAACACACATTACCATTCGAGTACCGTGACGTTTCGCCGGTTGTGATTACAACAACAACCTGCCTCATCAGGCATCAGCCAGATTTGTGGAGAAATCCTCCTGCTGTTTCGTTCTTAAATAGAGGTGGGGATAAATGTGATGTCGTCACTGTTGAGGCAATCAGGTGCCAAGATAAGGGGGGAGTTAATGTATTAATGATCGGCATGAGACTAAAAGAACACCGAAGAAATATTAAATACTCCCAAAAAACAACTAAAATCGAGAATATTTATTACTTAAGGAATCCGATGAACTATAAAAGCTATTTTTGCACAGATGTCCAGTAGGGGCACAGGGTCAGAACATTACAATAACAAACAATACACAAAACACGATAGGAGTGCAGAGTACAAGACAGGCAAACAAATCACCAAAAAAAACAAATAAAAGTAAACCGTCCCATCCTACCACTGAGATATTAACTTATTTTTCAGAATCAACCTGGCAATCACAAATGGTAGCTCAAAAAATTGTCTTATCATCATTGTGTGGAAATGTATAGCAGCAAAGTATCTGCTCAGAGAAACATCGGGCAACGCCTCTTCTTTACAAATGGCCCAAGCCGGCATTGAAAGTCTGAAATATATTAATAATAATAATGTATAAAGCACCCTGAAACAATCGTTCTCAGGGCACTATGAATGGAAAGGCAGAAGATAGAGTTAACTTCGACCAACAAAAGAAGGAGAGGACGTTTTTAAATAACTAAAGAGGGGAAGCCATTTGAAACCGATATGTGTCGAGTCGAGATTTGAAGATTTGAAATGTTTTGGAAGTCCGGACCTCGAAGGGGCAAGGAGTTGAATAGTTTAGGTGCCGCATTTTGCAAAGGGACCATCACCCCCAAGTGTGAAGCCTAGAACGTCGGACCTGTGAGAATGCACAATCAAAGGATCTTAATGATCTTGATGGACTATATAACTGAAGGAGGTCCTGAATGTAGGGAGGAGCAAGTCCATTTAAGGCCTCGCATACCTGCAAGATAATCTTAAAATCAATAAGGTATGAACAGGGAGTCAGTGAAGGCACAGGAGCACAGGTGTGATGTGATCCTTGAAGGGAGTACCTTGTGGCCGCATTTTTAACATACTGCAGCCTGTTTAGGCGCTTGCTCGGTGTTCCAAAAAGCAGGGCATTACAGTAGTCAATGTGGTAAAAAACAAATGTGTGGATCAGTCTTTCAGTGTCTGCAGTGTGTAGGATGTGACGAAGCAAGGATATGTTTCTCAATTGGAACAAATAGGTGCGCACAGTTCTGTTATGGGACTGAAAGGATACAGTTTGATCTCGAAGGACACCAAAACTATTGACCTCGTGTGCATGATAGACATTACAACCACCAATAACTAAGTTAAGAGAGATCTATTTGGATACCTGTTGGAGGTACCGATTAAAATAAACTGTGTTTTATAATTCATTTTAAGGAAGTTTTGAGACATCCATGCTTTGACACGAGACATTTACTGTGCTAATAATGAGACTGCAGATACAACATGCAATCCCAACTGTAGGTAGATCTGAGTGTCATCTGCGTAGCAGTGATATAGCTGAGCCCTTAGTGTTGTAATGAAGCTCCAAGTGGGGCCAAATAGACAGAACAGGATGGAGCCTAATACTGATCCCTGAGGGACACAGTAAGGAACTAAGTTAATTATGAATTCATAAGTGCCCATTTTGACAAATAGCTTGCAGTATTAGAGATAATAGTTGAACTATTGCAACGTGGTGCCTGAGATCCCTATCAAGACCTCCAATTGGTTGAATAAGATATTGTGATAAATTGTGTCTAAGGCTGCGCTTAGGCCAAGGACAAGGAGAGCACGTGGATAATATTTATTAGCAGCAATTAGGAGATCATTATGTATCCTTACTGACGCTATTTCAGTGCTATAACCTCTCTCTCTGTGTCTCTCTCTGTATATGTGTCTCTCTCCGAGCTTGCATTCACACCTGATGACGGTTGCTTGTGTTGCAATCAAAACGTCGTATTCTTTTATATTTTTTATTTTCTTTCTAAGTGACTTTACCGAAAGAACCAAAGAGTAACTAAACTGTTTTTTTTATTTTTCTAGGTAAGGATCCACTGAGCGTCATAGCATTATTTTTTTCAGAAGCGACCTGCCTATCACAAATTATAACTGAACGAAGTGGGCTTATCATCACGTGGAAATGCATAGTGGCCAAATAATCTGAACGCGTGATATTGAATCTTAATGCCCAGGGAAAACAACAGAAAATCCACGCGACCACGGGGAGAGAAACACGCAAACTCCAAACATACAGCAGGCGTGAATGTCGGGAGCGAACTCACGACTTCCTGTATACCAGGCAAGACAGTTAACATCTCGCCAGGTAATAACAGATGCCAGGTCACAACAGCTAACACTTAGTGGTGATCGAAATCTCCAACGGATTTTGGTCGCAAACTTCACCAACCCGCACTAAACTAACCAGCGTGGCGAGGTATGGTCAACTGTCATAAGCCACATGGCCTTCGTCCAGAAGTGGGTTGAGAGCTGGCTGCAAATTATAATAGTTATTCGTTTATCGTTATTCTGTTCATCATTATCTGAGTGTGACTAGGCCGCTGTGACTCAGCAAGGCTTTCATAGGGAACGGACAAGGAGACTATTCAAATCGCAATAGCAGCAGAGACTCCAATCGTGAAGGTGCGGTTTAAAATCCAGGATTGGACGGAGCATGAGCATTATGCTTCGTATCATCGTTAAACTCAGCACGATAATCGCTACTATTATAATTACGGCACAGCCATTAACAATACCACCACCAACATCATCATAATGAATACTTCAACCATCATTTTCGCATCTCCGATTCGCACGGTGGGTACCACACGGTGCGAAATCATTTCAACTTACATATGTACATATAATAACTAATTCGTAATGCACACAATTTTCACTTGTCCGACGGCAGTGGAGCCCAGCTCAGAGACCCGCTCAGTAAGAGCCAAATGAATGTTTTTTTGAGAAGGCGCTTAAAGGCGGGTAAAGAGTCAGTGCAGCGAATGTGGAGGGGGGGGGGTGGCGGCGGCGTTCCAGGTGGAGGAGGAGGGGCCAACAAGGAAGAAACGACGCACGGCGATCAGGGTCCTGAACTCGGTGTCGAGATTAAGTCCTGAGTAGAGCTATGGGAGAGTTCTGGTGGTGGTTTGGGAGCAGGGCTTCAGGAGATCCTAGAGCATAGGGTGGTGAACCTTTTTTTTCTGCCAAGGGCCATTTGGATATTTATAACATAATTCGCGGGCCATACAAAATTATCAACTTAAAAAATAAGCCTGTTATATTTGGTCAAACATTTAATTAACTCACCCCTAATGTGATGGCTGGAATTGCTTCTCTTTGGCGAGGCGTGTGGTGATGTTAGCTGGTATTGATGATGTTGCTACTCGCAACTGCTTTTCCAGGTTTGCTCCTAGATTTATTGAATTTCGAGTCCCGCCTGCGGTTGCCTTGGCAGGGCCACACCAAATGATTTCCCCGGGCCTTATACGGCCCGCGGGCCGGACGTTCCCCACCCCTGTCCTAGAAGTATGGAGGGCTAATAGTGATCATCATCATGACGATCACTATTAGCATCATCGTAAATTGCTGTTTTCGTCACGACCAATACCAGCACCATCGTCATCACGAACAGCAGCAAGCATCTCGATCAAGATTCGGCATCACCATTATCACGACCATTGTCATCGCTTACGCAAAAATCAGCACCAGCATCTTCGCCATCCATTATATCATCATCGCCACCATCATTGCTATCATTACCACCATCAGCTTCATGACCATAATCTACGCTGCTATAAGGGTGACCAGGATCATAAAGATGATCAAGCACCTCTTTTAACTGCTCAACCCAAGCTGTAAGTGCTCTGATGCTTACGTTGCCTTTGTACTGTTTGCCGTTTGGCGCTGTTCTCCGGTCTAACACAGGCAGAGACAAGGCCAAAAAAGGAGGCCGTCTCGTGTTGGCCAATCAGTTCAAAAGGCAATGCGTCCATTATTATCAGAGCACGTTCCATCGCATATTTTGCCACAAGTGTGGTTAATGCAGTACCAGATTCCTTTAAAAATGGGATCTATTTGGTGTTTAAACATCTCAACACCCGTTTTATTGACAGAAAGTTTTCCTTTCGATGATTATTTTTGGTTGAATCGGCACTTTCGATGTTGGTCGGATTCTTGCATCTTGACAAAGCAATAAAGTAATGATTAGTTATAATTTTAATAATAAGACTTTCATTATTTTGTGCTTAATTGCGCTGAAAATTCACGTAGCCTAGGCAGCGTTACACAAAGCGCAGGCGTTAGGCACATATTAACCTTATGGAGGTACTCCGGGGTACCAAATAATACTAAATAGCCGAGGCAATAAAATATTTTATTTCTGGGACACTACTTTTCCCTGGGGTGTACTTAACTCCGCGACTGGGGTACCAATACGAAATGTAGTGCCACTCCGCGATGTCGAAACGCCAAACATTGGCGTGAAAAAAAATCTTTATCGAAAAATTCAACTTTGTGCATCGTGTTACTGCTCGTCAAGATGAGTCGATTGCCGCATCGCCGACCATCAACAGACTAAAAAATGACTGCATCACGGACAATGTGCGAGGGCCGAGGTTCATATCACAAAAAAAAACTGCACGTATAAAATAAAGCTGGTACAATGTGACACGGGATTCGTATGGATAAGTGTACCGTGCGCTCTTAATGACAGTGCCGTAACGCCGATAATCCTTACTCCAAGCCAGCTTACAATCTTGTTTTGAAGCTTTCGTGACTGCAGGAATCCATACTCTTTGGTTCTTTCGGTAAAGTCACGTAGGTAGAAAAATAAAATAAATCACGACGTTTCGGGCGCAACACAGGCGTCCTTTCCCACATGATGACGGACGCTTGTGTTGCGCCCGAAACGTCGTCATTTATTTTATTTCATTTTATACCTACGTGACTTTACCGAAAGAACCAAAGAGTACAGTTCACCATCGCGCATATACGGTGAAAAAATTAAGCCTCGGTCATCATCACCACCACCACCACCAATCATCATCATGGTCGTGTCACATACCTGGTTGTGACCGTCTCGTCCAGTTGCCAAATGTTTCTTCGCACCGACCCGTCACGAGTGCCTGCCACACTCGCGAGACGCGTGCAAGCGTCTGTTTGTGCGCGTGCGGTTAGATAAGACAGAGAGAGGGGCGAGAGAGAGAGAGGGGAGAGCGAGAGGAATTTTAGAGGCAGTGCAGGGGGCTCGCGTGGAGGCGGCGTGAGCTGGGCTCGCCCTCCCTGACCTCCCGACCCCCCGAGATGTGTCCAGACCGGTTCGTGAGCGCCGCGCGTTCTTGACGAGTCACGGCGAGGAACTCTGCGATGCACGTACAGTAGCGAGTTGTAGATGACGCGGGAGGAGGAAACGCAGGCTGGCCCACGTCATAGCACGCATTTCCCCCCCACCACAAATCTGAAAAAAAGCCTTGATTGCAGAGACAGATTTTGGTGCGCCCACTGTGACAAGGGATGTTAACTACCTCGCCTGTTTTACAGCGGGTCGTGGGTTCGATCCCGACCCTGACGATGCCTGCTGCTGTATATTTGCAGTTTCTATGTCTCTCTCATCATCACGGTGGGCTAGGAGATGTTAACTACCTCGCCTGGTTTACAGGGGGTCGTGGGTTCTATCCCGACCCTGACGATGCCTGCTGTATATTTGTATTTTGCACGTCTCTTTCTCCCTGTGGGTCGCGTGGATTTTTCTCCGGGTCCTCCGGTTTCCCCCTCCACATTTTAGAAACATGCGTTTGTTGCATTTGTCTGTTGCTATAGATTTCCACGTGATGATGATAAGCCCGCGTCGTTGAGCTATCAATTATGATCGCCAGATCGTAGCTTAGTAGTTTTCACCTGGTAAAATGAAAGTAGTTAAATAGATTAGCAGGCTTCTTCGTGACACTTAAACGTGCATGCCAGTATTGATTGCATAACAATCATTCAGTATTGATTGCATAACCTGGGGGGAGGGGGGGGGTCAGACATTTGTGACGATGTGTGACAAGGGGGCGGGGGTTGAGAAATGTGACGTCACATCAAAATCGCGTGACGTCATTTATGGCCGGCCCCTTTGTTTCCTCAAATCCTTTGTATTTATTAACATTATTAAAATAAGTTTACGAGTAAGAACCAATGGGGTGCAAGGCTGCAGTGAAGGTTAAGAAGCACTGATGCAGACAATATTAACACGTTCCTTAGGAGTGGGCATGTAGGAACTTATACTATTTGTTTTTTTTCAGTAAAGTCACGTAGGCATAATAAAATAAATGAAAACAACTTAATTACATCACGACGTTTCGGAGGCAACACAAGCTTCCGTCTTCAGGTGGAAACCGTCACAGCAAAATTGCTGTATCAAGTGAAGAGAGCTCGAAGATACCCGAGATTATATATACAGGTTAAGGGGGGGGGGAACCAGGAGGGGTCGTGGAGGGGGGCTAAGTTCATCCGTCTTTAGTCTATGCTGCAGGGGGTTAGGGGGATGGAGAGGCGATGGCGAGTGGTGATGGAAAACGGGTGCAAACAACTGGAAGAAATGGAAATGGTTGTACAATTATAAGGCAGCTAAAGTTTTACTTGGTTCATGACATCTTTCCAATGATTGCTCAATTTAAAACCAACCTCTCGGTTGAAGTTGTGTCTATGTTTGTATATCTGGATGATGGCTTCATGGACAAATCTTTGGTAGTGTCCGGAAGGTTTGCAGAATACTTTGGTATCGGAGAAAACAATATCATGAGAACCTGCTGTGTTGAAACAATGATCAGCTACGGCCGAAGAATTCGTTTTGCCATACATACAGTGAGGGAAAAAAGTATTTGATCCCCTGCTGATTTTGTACGTTTGCCCACTGACAAAGAAATGACCAGTCTATAATTTCAATGGTAGGTTTATTTGAACAGTGAGAGACAGAATAACAACAACAAAATCCAGAAAAACGCATGTCAAAAATGTTATGAATTGATTTGCATTTTAATGAGGGAAATAAGCATTTGACCCCTCTGCAAAACATGAATTATTACTTGGTGCCAAAACCTTTGTTGGCAATCACAGAGGTCAGAGATTTCTTGTAGTTCACCACCAGGTTTGCACACATCTCAGGAGGGATTTTGTCCCACTTCTCTTTGCAGATCTTCTCATAGTCATTAAGGTTTCGAGGCTGACGTTTGGCAACTCGAACCTTCAGCTCCGTCCACAGATTTTCTATAAGATTAAGGTCTGGAGACTGGCTAGGCCACTCCAGGACCTTAATGTGCTTCTTCTTGAACCACTCCTTTGTTGCCTTGGCCGTGTGTTTTGGGTCATTGTCATGCTGGAATACCAATCCACGACCCATTTTCAATGCCCTGGCTGAGGGAAGGAGGTTTTCACCCAAGATTTGACGGTACATGGCCCCGTCCATCATCCCTTTGATGCGGTGAAGTTGTCCTGTCCCCTTAGCAGAAAAACACCCCCAAAGCATAATGTTTCCACCTCCATGTTTGACGGTGGGGATGGTGTTCTTGGGGTCATAGGCAGCATTCCTCCTCCTCTACACACGGCGAGTTAAGTTGATGCCAAAGAGCTCCATTTTGGTCTCATCTGACCACGACACTTTCACCCAGTTGTCCTCTGAATCATTCAGATGTTCATTGGCAAACTTCAGACGGGCATGCATATGTGCTTTCTTGAGCAGGAAGACCTTGCGGGCGCTGCAGGATTTCAGTCCTTCACGGCGTAGTGTGTTACCAATTGTTTTCTTGATGACTATGGTCCCAGCTGCCTTGAGAACATTGACTAGATCCTCCCGTGTAGTTCTGGGATGATTCCTCATCGTTCTCATGACCATTGCAACTCCACGAGGTGAGATCTTGCATGGAGCCCCAGGCCGAGGGAGATTGACAGTTCTTTTGTGTTTGTTCCATTTGCGAATAATCACACCAACTGTTGTCACCTTCTCACCAAGCTGCTTGGCAATGGTCTTGTAGCCCATTCCAGCCTTGTGTCGGTCTACAATCGTGTCCCTGACATCCTTGGAGAGCTCTTTGGTCTTGGCCATGGTGGAGAGCTTGGATGATTGATTGATTGCTTCCGTGGACAGGTGTCTTTTATACAGGCAACAAGCTGAGATTAGGAGCACTCCCTTAAAGAGTATGCTCCTAATCTCAGCTCGTTACCTGTATAAAAGACACCTGGAGCCAGAAATCTTTCTGATTGAGAGGGGGTCAAATACTATTTTCCTAATTAAAATGCAAATCAATTTATAACATTTTTGACATGCGTTTTTCCGGATTTGTTGTTGTTGTTATTCTGTCTCTCACTGTTCAAATAAACCTACCATTAAAATTATAAACTGATCGTTTCTTTGTCAGTGGGCAAACGTACAAAATCAGCAGGGGGTCAAATACTGTTTTCCCTCACTGTAGCAGGCGTTACCAAAAAGATTTTCTAAATTCTAAACAAACACAAGATCCAGGTCCGGTTCAATACAGTACACAAAATTCGTGATCTGATCCCATCCGTAAAGGATGTCATTCCTGACTTACAGTACCCCGGTGTTTACAAATTGAGTTGTACCTGTGGTGACTGCTATATCGGGGAGGCGAAACGACATATTTCTGACCGAATTCGCGAGCACAAATCAGATTTGAAACACGGCAGAACGGATTCTTCGGCCGTAGCTGATCATTGTTTCAACACAGCGGGTTCTCATGATGTTGTTTTCTCCGATACGAAAGTACTCTGCAAACCTCCCGGATACTACCAAAGATTTGTCCATGAAGCCATCCAGATATACAAACCTAGACACAACTTCAACCGAGAGGATGGTTTTAAATTGAGCAATCATTGGAAAGATGTCATCAACCTAGTAAAACTTTAGCTGCCTTATAAATGTATAGCCATTTCAATTTCTTCCAGTTGGTTGCACCCATTTTCGATCACCACTCACCATCGCCTCTCCGTCCCCCTAACCGCCTGCAGCATAACAAAAGACGGCTTAACTTAGCCCCCCTCCATGACCCCGCCTGGTTCCCCCCCCCCCTTAACCTGTGTATATAATCTCAGGTTTCTTAGAGCTCTCTTCACTTCATACAGCAATTTTGCTGTGACGGTTTCCACCTGAAGACGGAAGCTTGTGTTGCCTCTGAAACGTCCTGATTTAATTTAGTTGTTTTCATTTATTTTATTTTACCTACATGACTTTACCGAAAAAAAACAAAGAGTATGAATCCTTGAAGTCATGAAAGCTTTAGAATTAGGTAGGAACTTGGTTGGACAGCGCATTCGTGCGATCCGTGTTGGATAGCGTAGTCCTGTTGGAGGTTGTAGCCGTTACTATTGCATCTGATGATGAATCTTGATTTATTGCTGATGTTGGTCTTTAAGTTCATGCAGCTGCTGCAGCAGGTCGCGCCTGTGCTGTGATGCCACCTCCTGCGTGTAACCAAAAGCGCCAATCCACCTGACCTAGTCCTTGAACGGCCACGATGCTGTCGTAATTGCGCACCAGGTGCATGATGTTGAGCAGGGCATAAACGCCGCAGTCGTAGCCTTTCGGTTGCTGCGGCACAAGCACCGTGGCCATCGCCACCGGCGTGCTCGCCGGTTCGGCGTACACGACCTGGCCCACCACCACGCTGGCGAAGGCCGCGATGCTCTTGGCGTTGCGTGACTGCCCCCGCGCAGCCATTGAGTCTAACAGCATGGCAGTCGACCTTGTGCCGAAACTCCAATTATGCAGATGGAATTCCGGATATGCACGACAGACAGACAGACAAATAATCCCTGGTGGGAAGTGTGGAACCTGTTGTTCCTACCTGTATAATCGAGTACTGTATATACTGTACAAAGTGTGTATTTCATGGGTACTCTTTGGTTCTATTCGGTAAAGTCACGTAGGTAAAAAAAATAAAACAACAAAAATCACGACGTTTCGGCAACAACACAAGCGGCCTTCATCAGGTGAAGGGATCAGGCTGTCTCGAGGACAGCGCTGGAGTGAAACACAGCCACGCTCAGACCGCGACCCTTAAGCTGTGTGCGAGGAAACAAGGTGCCTTGACAAAGGAATTAGCATAAATGACATCCTTCACGGATGGGATCAGATCACGTGATCTGATCCCATCCGTGAAGGATGTCATTCATGACTTACAGTACCCCAGGGTTTACAAATTGAGTTGTACCTGCGGTGATTGCTATATCGGGGAGACAAAGCGACATGTCTCTGACCGAATTCGCGAACACAAATCAGATTTGAAACGGCAAAACGAATTCTTCTGCCGTAGCTGATCATTGTTACAACGCTGTGGGTGATCACGATATAATTTTCTCCGATACCAAGGTTCTTTGCAAACTCACGGGTTTTTATCAGAGATGTGTTTCCCGAGGCAATTCAGATCTACAAGCACAGACAC